TGCTAATAACTTTTGGAGTACCTTGGTTTCAAAGGGATCTGCTTTGCAGCAGGACGAGGCCCTGGTTTGAGCTGGCAGCTGCTAGAAATCTGTTTCAGATCTGCACAGAGTTCAGGGGCGAAATCCTGGCTGCTCTGGACTGAAAGATTAGTGCAAGGCTGGATTTCACTCTCTCTCCAGCAGTTTTTAAGATTTTCCTTCACGCATTTGCCACATGTACAATAATAGTCACACCTTCAATGGAAATGCATTGGTCACAATGTTTTCAGCATCTCTTTATGCTGTTAGCACCTGATGCCAGAGCAGGTATGAGTGTCAAACCACCCATACAAACCTCAACGGCTGGTTGCCCTTGGTGGTGGTGGAGGAGAAAACTCCCGGTGTGTTGGTAGCGACTTTGTGTATTGCAGTCTTAGACCCTGAACGGTCCCATCACTGCCCAGATAATTAAAGCATCAGTACTCCTGAAAAACAGTATTTTTGCCACTGTCTTTAATGTGTCATTGCATAATGTAGCTTTGTATTCAAGAATTTCAAGCCTATGTTGTATTAGGTAACATTGATTTCTTTGGTGCCTATTAGATCATTATTTGCAAGTGTTTCTACTCTCTTTCTTAAATAAAAGTTAGTGAAAAAAAAAGCAGAGTGGATTCCAGACATTGATCCTGAGGCCAAAATGGAAATTATAAATGCATTGAGAATAAGAGCCTTAACACACAGCCACTGAAATGGGGCACACGTTGATGAGATCCCCTCTCAGCCTTCTCTTCTCCAGGCTAAACAGCCCCAGCTCTCTCAGCCTTTCCTCATACAAGAGATGCTCCAGTCCCCTCATCATCCTTGTAGCCCTCCGCTGGACTCTCTCCAGTAGTTCCCTGTCTTTCTTGAACTGGGGAGCCCAGAACTGGACACAGAACTCCAGATGTGGCTTCACCATGGCAGAGTAGAGGGTGGAAGATAATCTCCCTCGACCTGCTGGCCACACTCTTCTGAATGCACCCCAGGATACCATTGGCTGCCTTGGCCACGGGGGCACATTGCTGGTTATGTTTTTATTCGATAACTGGCTTTAAGGTAGTTGTACAATTCCATGCCCATGCCTGCAGCCGGTCTCTAACATCCCTCGGGACCATCCCGCAGTCATCCTCACCGCCCAGCCCCGGTGCAGGCAGCCCCCTGCGAAGGAGCGGGACTTTGCTTTGGCCAGTGGGCAGTTCTCCCAGCAGGAAAATCGGGATGTGTGGATGGACATCTCCAGGGCAGCCAAAGCTTGACATGGAGGGAAGAGGACAGTTACTAGTGAGGGGTAGGAGGGAGTTGTACAGCTCCAAGTACAGCAGAATCCTGATTTTGGCCATTAAACATTATGGTAACTAATAATTCCTCTTCTCACCATCTTCAGTTTGATGATAAATGGCATGACAAATCTTTGCTAACTTCTTTAAGCAATAGGTTCCCAGATCCTTTCTGTCCAAAGCCGAAGTTTTCCTTTCCCTGGGAACACCTGGATTTGGTTAAACCTTCTCTATGTGCCAGTGAAAACCCACAGAAAGACAGAGGTGCCTTTTCTGCTGTCCCTACCTCTGTGGGCTGCGGTGTGCCAGGGTGGGAAATTGAAATACTTCACAATAAATGTTTATTACTGTAACTTTTAAATGGTTGGAATTTAATTAAGGGAGTCTTTTCACGTTGGTGTTCCTTTATTTAACTGTTATTTTTTCTGTGGTTTTTAGATCGCCACCAACAAAATGGTTGGAATTTATTCTGGGCTTTGTCATTTCTTGAAGTCTGAGAGAAAGAAATGGATGCTTATCTCCTGTCAAGTTCCTTGGAGAGCTATGAGGAAATGAGCAATAAAAGCCTCTTTGAGGCTCTTTTAGCTTTAGTTTATTGTCTATAATAGTTACTGATGTGTGGAAACCAACAGAGAAATTTTACATGTTTATAGTTACAAAGCCCTTAACAGCTGTAGCTATGAGTTGAGCACTTACAGTTTTTTGAAATGTGTTTTTATAAATGTAACATTAAATCATTGTGATTTTGTAAACCAGTCTCCTTAAGAAAATTCCTGAGATAATAATATGTGGGTTGATATATTCAGTCAGGGCTGGTTTGTGGGTACTCGCTTGCTCTTGCTCATTTTGTAACTCCACCGAGAGAGCAACGCACAATGTTGGCTTTTTTGGGGCAGGATTGATGATGGCCAAAATGCACGAAGCAGCACTGCATTTCATTTCCCCTGGCTGGGTGGAAAAATGGGGTGGGGAGAAGAAAACCGGGTGAGTTGAGAGCCCCCAGCATACCAAAGGGCTCAGGTCTGTGCAGACCTCTCTCCCCTCGGCAGGGCTGGAGGATGCAGCAAATGGCTCCACATTTCTTTATCCCTGAGGGAGCTGGATCTGGAGTTTGCAGAGACTCAGCCCTTGGGGGCACTGGCCAAGTGATGGAGCTTTCTGCCCCTAGGCTGACTGGCTCTTTATTATCATCTCCTGTTCCTCGCAGGTCTTTTCATGCAATTTTAGGACAGAAGTACTCTCTTCTGTGCCTTGTCCTCCTCTCTACATTTCTTTTCTCATCTGGCTTGGGTGGACGTTTCGCATCTAATCCTGCCCTCTGTAAATGGTGAAACTACTAAGCCATTTGGATCCAGTGCGAAGGACGGCATGAAGGGGACTGTTCTCAGCCCATACACATTGCTGATTAATAATACCGCCAAGGGCATACATTGAAACAAACACACCAAGAACGCAGACATGTCCACTCTTGTCTTTTGCGTAAGAAACTCACTCTTTGGCATCCAAATTGCTGTTCACTACTGCGGTGCCTGTACAATCCGCATTTCCACCATTGCAGCCCTCGTGCGAGTGGCGGGCTGGTCTGGAAAGTCTGTTCCTCTGCCAGGGTCGTTCCCTGGAGGCCCTTGAATGCCCCTGACATGATCCAGCATGCAGATCTATCCATCACACGCTTGCATGCCTGTCCCTGGCCAAACACAAATCCCATGCATTGGGATTCCAGTAACTCGAGAAGTCTGAGAATATGCAGCGGTAAAACAAACATGAGCCATTCAACTTCCAAAAATTGCATTAAGCCAGAAGAGACAATGTTATTTCTGCAGGTCTGTTTTAAATCAACCCAAATATTCTTCTGGAGCCAGAGCTATAATTCAGTAAAACTTGATACAATCTTGGAAAACCATAGAAAGTGTTAGGAAATACTGCTGGGAGTTAAGAGATCTATAGATACTGCAAAAATCTGCATCTTAAACTAAATAGACATGCCTCTTAAATACTAATCGAGGCACACTGCAGAGGATGATGGTTACCTTTTCAACCCAAATCCTTAAAATTCAGAAGGCTTTGTCTGCATGCGAAAACTGAACTGTTTTCCCAATGCTACTTGCAGCTAAAATACAGCATATGAATGTATAGGAAAGATACATCCATACTACCACAGAATTTGGCTACGTGGTATTGCTGATTGCCATACGTCGATGATCGTTTAGGCTACCAGCAAGGCCAACTTCCAGGATCTTCAGCTCTGCAGAGGAGTTCTGAGTCTGAAGGGGTAAGGTGCAAGAGAGAGGTCTGCCCTCTCTTCAGGGGCTGCCGCCACCACTGTTTCTGTGCAGAAACTCTACAGAGCAAAGATTAAAATCATTGGTGGTATTTTTGATGAAATGTTACATTTGTGGATTGGCTTTGCTTCCTCTATAATTTTCCTTAAATGGAACATCGATAGCTACATTCTGTACATTTTGCACAAACACAAATTGAGTTTCACCGCACGTTGTACTTGAGAGGGAAGGTAGCTGGTGCACAACAGTTAAATGGCTTGGCTTGCGAGAAAGTCTGTTGTAGAGCTAGCACTGGAAGGCACCAGAGCTGCTTCCCACCTCTCCTACATACATTTCTGTACTGTGTTTCTGCCTAAATAGGAAAAGTAAAAATATACAATAAAGTGTGAAGATTTCTAGTGATACTTGCTTCATAGCTTCTTTCTACAGACTCAAGATCACTTATAAGATTACCTTCTCGTGAATGTATGGTTTTCATTGAAACATCAGGACGATATCATTGTTACTTTAGTCTCCATATTTTTGTCATTAAAAACACAGATCTAGACACTACATATTTTTGGCCTTTTTACCAAATACTCTAATATTATGATTAGATACAGAGAAGGCTTCATGTTTTTGAGGAATCAGTATTGTTATCTTTCTTTTCCTCCTCAGTTTTTTACAATGTTGATGTGAGCTTTTCTTTGATTAACTATTTTACCACATACCGTGGCATTGGTCAGAATATTTCTATCAAGACTTTTTGGACAGAAAACAGCCTTTGATGATACAAGACTTTCAACGTTTGGATTTGTTATGGCTTTTAAAGACAAAATATGAGCATATTTGAAATTAATTAAGGAGCCATACTTGCTGAAGAAAACAAAAAACTGTTCACACAAAAAGTAAAAAGAACTAAATCTGTGTAGGGATATATCTCTGCAAATGGCAGTAGCATTTTAATCTGTCCTAGTACTGACTTCATCTTTCATGATATTATTTCCTAGAATTTGGATTCTTTGGGTTCAGTTTGTACCAGTGGAAGTTCTGGCATGGAATCTAGTGAAGTCACTGATTTCTATGAAAGTGTTTAAGACAAACTAAGGATAACAGACTTTTTGCAATGGCCAGAGCTGTCTTGTCTCATATTGTTTGCAAAGCACAATTGATATCAGAAAATACCATTGTTATAAGAAAAATGATTAATGTAGGACTTCAAAATTCCACAGATTTGAAAATCTCAGAGATATTTAAAAAGACTTTATGGAAAATTAACTTGCCAGATTAATTCTGAGAAATGTGTTTTTCTTAAGAGTGCTGAATGAGATGGTATGAAGAGTTCTGGAGGGTTTGCATGCCCAGGAGGTGATAGTACATCTGTGTAAATAACCTTACCAAAAGCATCTAATGCATAACTTTTGCTGCTTGCTTTTCTCCTCAGGTTTGCCAATTTGTCGTGTCTGTCAACGGCCTCAATGTTCTCCACGTGGATTACAGGACAGTGAGCAACCTCATCTTGACTGGCCCTCGAACAATTGTGATGGAAGTGATGGAAGAAATAGAGTCTTGAGAAGAAAAAATCCTTCTTAGTGGACATTTTTGTGAGAGAAATAGCGACGACCGTGGAGCAGCATGACACAAGGAGGCAGAATGTTGCTGTGTCTAAATAGATTATTTTGCTTTTAGGGGAGGGGGGCTCTCTTTCTTTTAACAATAATAACAGTGGTGATTATGCTAAGAAGTGAACAATAGATACCAGCATATTTTCACTAAGGACTTTTCTTTGCCTGACAGCGACAAGGTTAAAGCCTTTAATTGTCTGTCCAGCCACGTCTGCATTGGTCAGAATGTTTTCCAACCTAAGAGGCCGTGCAGGCTTCCTCACAGTCCACCACTGGATCAAAGCACTTCAGGAGATGAAAGAACCAAACACTGTGGGGTCAGGATGTCACAGATGGTTTGCATGACATATTTATGTTGGTAAACATCCTCCTGGTGTCCAGCTTTGTCCCAGGAGCACGTGCTGTCGCAGTTGCTCTCTCCCTGGGCCGAAGGAGAGCTGACTAAATGCTGGTTTGATTGCAATCAAACACAAACAAACTGCAAATGCATGAAAAAAAGGTGTCCATTCTCTGTAGAGGATACTCTGGTATGAATGTTTGGGCCTGACCGAATACACGGATTAGTCTAGAAAGAATAACCAATCAAATTTAAAAGCGTGCGGTACTTTTACAAAATCTGCCTTTGAAAATGGGGCTTTTTGTTTAGATGCCTACGTACTGGTTTAGATGCTGAAGTATAAAACGTTGATTTGGGGTTTTTTCCTTATCTATAAAGGAAAGGTGTCTCAGCCTTGCTGTTCATCACTGTGGAGAAATTTTGGACACATTTATTCCTAGAAGAAGAAGAAGAATTGGTGGCTTGAAGTGGGAAGTTCACAGTGTTAGCATTAGCAATGATACATCCAGATGCTCCAGTAGAGAAAGTACACTTCAAGCTGAAGCAATGTACTTGAATGTACATTAAGCTTGTTAGCACTTTCCAATCATCAAATGTTTTGCAAACTACAGACTTGCCACATGAGCTGCATTTGACACTATGACTAATAAAACATTGTATTTAACTGACTCTTAATCTTTTTCAAACAGTAGGATTTCTTGGTTGACGAATTAATGAAACAAATCTTTTTTTAAAAAATGTATATACAAATTCCATATTCTGCAGTTAGGTGACTCCTCAACTCAATGGTAAGTGGATTGCATGGACTTTCTTTGATCTTTGAACTGAATAAATACCCCTTGTCCACAAAATTATAAATATATGTTGCAGACTTTTTCTGCTGTCTAAATTTTACAATTAAAGCTTGACTTTCTATATGAGCATACCACAAATCCTTCAATTATGGGGTGGGGAAAGTATTTTTTCCTCAAATAATTTTGAAATATGTTTTATATTAAAAATTGTTCTCAGTAAATACATTGCTCTTGCAGTATGTTTTTCACTCACTCAAACACTTTTACATCAGAGATACAGCAAGTCTTCAAAATCACATATGCCTGCAGCTTTGTAGGTAGAAGTTTCTGATACAGTATATCTGTGGTTGATTTTTCACCATGAAAACTTCTCATATTCCACTAATATGCAGCAGTGCAAGGAGGTATAAAACTGCAACCGCTAACTTGATACTAACCAGGCACAAAAGTGTTTGGAGGATTCTTTCAAATTGTCATTTATTATGACAGTTGTTTATCTCAATTGTACCCCAAAAATTTTTGGAACACATGTATAACCCACAGCGGATTATATTCTACAGTTCATCTAAAATAAATAGTTCAGCACATGACGTTATGTGAGATTGTAACAACTGCCAGTGGTATCCACTAAGAACGATTGGAAAAAATCCTGTTGTTCCAGAAATGTGTCAGTATGCTACCAGGTTTTGATTTTGTGAATCCAGGAATGCTTCCCCAAATACTTCCACTTGCTTTTCTTTTTCACCTGGGTTGTTTTGGTGGCTTGCTTGGTATATACTTTGTACCACTTTAAAATATAAATTCTACGTGTTAGGCTAGGTTAAATATTAAAATGTGAAGGATTTTCTTAGCAAAATGCTAATGATTCTCTCTAATGCCATCGTGGATTCTTCTGTCTTACATCTCTTGCCTTAGTTAATATTCTGCTACAAGTTCCCCGTAGCTTACAGATAATTAAGAAACTGGGTCAGAATTTAGCTTAATAATGCATTACAGAGTGCACTTTAGACTTGAGCAAACAGAGTGGGAATGGGGGCAGGGAGAAATCTGTGCATATCATTATGTTACAGATTGGTGATGGCATTTTCATTTGCAAGATACATTACTCTCTATCACAATTTGAGCACCGTTACTTGCCTGCTCTTTAATGGGGATTTCTATATTGTGTTCTCAACTTGATTGACAATCTGGAATTTAATTCATTCTTTCCCTCTTCAATGTGACAAAGGTATTCAAATTATCTCTGCAATGAAATTTCGTATTTTGGAAAAAAGGATGCGAAGTTAACAATTAAGCTATGAAATGTATCATTTCCAATTAAACTGCAGTTTGTCTGCACATGGCGATACATACCCTCCAAGATACCCTGCAGGAACCAGGTTCAAACTCTCATCCACTTCAGAGGGCAGAGAATTTTGAATATAATAGAGCACCTTGCGTCCTGCAAAGTACCAGGGGAAATGTAAGATTATTCACAGAAGTGAGGCATTTCAAGAGATGCGGGAATATCACAGTGTGGATTGAAGGAAGAAACCACAAAGGAAAAAACATGCCATCAGCAGTAATAACTTCATAAAAAGATAGGCATTTTTGTAAGGCTTACTCTCTTATGTGAGCACACAGATCTTGTGAGATCCTCTAATAAATCTTTATGCCTTAATACCACAGATTAGTGCCACTCCTCTGCACATGTACATTTGCAAGTCATTTATGGAACATCTTCAAGCAATATGATAGTTAATTAAATTCAAATAGCAGTTAAGTTAATTGGAGCATTAGTTCAGTGCAATATTTCTCCTATTTTTCTTCTGTTATATTTCCTACAGATACATAATTTTGATTATCAAATCAAATACCATATGTATATTATTGAACACAACTGGTTCCATAGCTAGTCCCAGGGAAGGCATTTCACGCATGAAATATAATGCAGTAATCCACTTCAGGTGTATCAGAATTTGATTGTCTGCATTTTAGGTCTCCATAGAAGCTGAAAATAAAATTGTCAGCATCGAAATGACATAGTGATGTCCTAGCAGCATCTGCAATACCAGTGGGTCTGTCCTACTACCCCCTTCTATGAGATTATCTTCAGGAAAAGGTTTGGGCAGAAAAAGTCATGCAGTAGGAATGTTTCTCTTGGTGTTTTCTCCCTTTTCTGGTTATATCCTCACTAATAACTACCGAGTGCTAGGGATGTGTCAAACACTGTCCCACAATTACTGGTTTAATAGTCAGCATGTCCCCTTAGCGTGGTCTAGACCTCTGAGGAAATTGCCCGAGTGTAGTTCAGAGAATAACGTGAGATGAGAATTTGGGCACAGGGGTGCAGGCTTTGTTGTGGCGCTTGGCCTTGGGACCAGAGAAGGGTCCCTGTACCGATTTGATGTACTGACAGAGACATAGCCAGAGAGAGTAGTCTGAGGATCAGGAAGAAGAAGGACTGACTGACTTCTTTCATCTGCACCGACAGCTATAATGCATGGAGGTTTCCTTTTCCCTGTGGATGGAGACAGAATAATCAGATTATGGGGTAATGCTCTAATAATTTCAGTCAACACCGGGAATTAAATACTAATTTTTAACGTTAATTTTGCTAAGTAAGAATTACTCTAATTTTAGGGACAGGAAAAACTGAGACAATATGGTTTGCAAAAATGTTTGCCTAATGCAAGACAGACCGAGAAGTCAATTGTTGCAATTATGAGTTTCTTCTTCCCAGTGTATAATTAGAACTAGACCATTTGTGTAAGTGAAAAAGCATGTGTATGTCACATGTATAAGTAAAGCTAGACCACACCACTCTTCAAAGTGAAAGAACTTCTAACCTTTTACAATAGAACTGCCATTAAAGGTTTCCATAAATCCCACTTTTTAAACCTGTCTGTCTTTATCTGGTGAGTGATGTGGCTTATATTTTTCATTTATATGCGTTACTTATAAAAACAAAAATAGTAACTGCCAGTGTAATAATTTCTTTTGTATATACACAGGGCAGATAAAAATCACTGATGTTTCAGAGAAGCTGAGTGATTTTAAACAATTAGATTTATCTATAAACTTGTACATAAATAAATATTTACACATTCATTTTTAAAATGAGCCATTAACACAAGAAGATAATCTAAGAATGTCAAAGAATGTCACAGGACTCAAATGATACAATGAATTTATACTATAAAGTCAGTGTTTCACAGATAGCTACTGAGTCTTTATACTTGCAATTCTTCAGGAAAATCCAGAAATATTCAGAAGGGAATAGCTATAAAATTGTCAAACTCAATGTCCTCTAGAAAAATGGCCGTTGTTTTGCAGTTAGGTATCCATTCTCATACTGTCCATGGGAGCTGTGAATTTCCAGTACTGCTGAAACTCAAGTTGGATCAGCACACACTTATAATTAAATGCTTAGCCTCGAGAGCACGCGTTTGAAGCAGGCACTGTACGCTAGGTAGCACAAATCATTGTATTGCTTTTATATAAAAATGTTGCCATACACGCATAGCTTTCCCATCCTACGGCACCGTAGCTCTCGCTCAACTTAGAGTACAACAGCTGCCTGCTGGCTTTTGCATGGCCTTGTCAAAGAACGATCGTCGTTTCTTTTCAGAATTTGCAGGCGATTAGCGCCATGGGAAATTCTCTTCTTTTTACGCGCAACTTCGCGCTTCTGTTCCTAAGGTGCTTCTACCCAGAGACCTCTACAAAATGGCTTCTCGATTACGCTATGCGGACAGCTAGTGGTTCGCAGGCCACTTCAAAGAGGTGTTTACCTCCTGCCTGACCAGGCGAACACCTCCTCTATGGCGAAATGCTCCCACTGCTCCTGCTGCTGCTGCTGCACGCACCCAGGCGGGCCAAGCTGGGGAACAGCGCTGTGAAGGACAGTCCGTGCCCACCAGACTGTTTTGCGTCGACCAGTGATTTATGGATGTATTTTGTTTTCTTTCCTATTGTTCTGCTCCTTTTGCCACACAGTTAAAATAGTCCTGCTTTCTGCTGTCAGCTCAAAAATTCGTTCTTGAAGGCCTCGATGGCCCTGCATTCTTTGTCATTTTTCCTGAGTTTTAGTGACTCTTTATCATGATC